GAGAGAGAGAAAGTAAGACACTAGGTCCAGGACTTGAACCATGGTTGGTCATGTGGGAGTCCAGCGCCCCTAACCACCAGGCCACCTGCCGGCCCCCTCTATTGAACTTTAAGAGTTCTTTGTATGCTTTGGATACCTGTCCTTTTTTAGATACATTTTGTAGATATTTGCTCCCAGTCTGTGGTTTGTCCTTTCATTCTCTTAAGATTGTCTTTTGCAGAGCAGTTTTTAACTCTAATGAAATACAACTTAATTTTTTTCTTTATGGATTGTATAAGTCTTTGCTAAACCCAAGGTCTAGATTTTTCCTGTTATCTTCTCAGAGTTTTATACTAAGTTTAGTGCTTTACATTTAGGTCCATTTTGAATTATTTTTTGTGCAAGGTATAATGGCTGTGTCTAGATGTACTTTTTTTTGCACCTGAGTGTCCAGTTTTTAGCGTACTATTTATTAAAATACTAGATTTTCTATACTGATTTGCCTACTCTCCTTTGTCAAAGATTAGTTGACTTTACCTGTATGAATCTACTTCTGGGTTCTCTGATCTATTTGTCTGATCTTTCACAAATGCTTTATTACCTTGACTACCTTAGTGTTACTGAAAAATCTGAAAGCCCAGTAGTGTAAATCCTCTGAAGTTGTTTTCTTTTTATATTGGTTTGGTTCTTCTGGGCCTTTGGGACTAGAATATAAACTACAGGATTCATTTGTCGATACCCACAAGACAAAATTGCTGAGATTTTTATTGTGATCACATTGACGCTAAAAACGAAGTTGAAAAAAGTTGACACCTTAATATTTGTCTTCCTTCAACAAAAGTGGTTAATTTCTCCATGTACTTCATCTTTGATTTTTCACTTACTGTTTATAGTTTTTCTAATACAGATCTTGTACATATTTGTTATTTAAGTACTTAAAAACTTTTTTTGGTGCATAATGTAAATGGTACTGATTTTAATTTCAAATTCTATTCATTTCTGATATGAAAGCAACTGACTGTCAGATATTAACGTATTTTGCATAAATGCTGCAATTACTTATTAGTTCTAGGAATTTTTTTGTTCTCCATTCTTTGGAGTTTTCCACAATCATGTCATTTGTGAACAGATAGCTTTATTATTTTCTTCCTTCCTAATTTACATACCTTGTTTCCTTCTCTTGTGTTATTGCATTAGCTAGGCCTTCTAATATGATGTTGAATAAGAATGGTGAGAGGAGACATCCTTGTCTTGTTCCTGATATAAGGGAGAAACCATCTGGTTTCTTACCATTAGTTATAATGTTAGTAATATGTGTGTGTGTGTGTGTGTTTGGAGAGATTTTTGCTACATGCACTCACTGAAGATAGACAGAAAGTGAGAAATCACTCCCAAGGAGAGATGGCCATGCTACAAACCTCTCTCCTCCACTCTCCTCTTGGGATTTTGGGTGCGCATGGACATGCACCCAGCATGAGTTTCAAGCCTTCAGGTCTGGGATTTGAACGGCAGTCAACCATGTTGGAGTCTTGTCTTAACCACCACACCACCTGCTGGCCCAGGCAGTATACATTTTATTTACTTATTTTTATTTATTTATTTTTGGAGAGGTTTTTGCTATAGGGTGTGTGTGCTTGCCAGAAAGACAGAGAGAGACAGAGACAGAAAGTAAGAAATCACTCCCAGGGAGGATGGCCACGCAGCAATCCCTTCTCCTCCATTCTCCTCTCGGGATCTTGGGCATGCATGCACACACGCCCTGTGTTGAAACCACTGGGTCCGGGACTCGAACCACGGTCGACTACATGGGAGTCCAGCGACATAGCCATTACACTAACTGCTGGTCCCACATTTTATTATTATTTTTAATAAAGTTGCAGAAATTCTCTAGTTTGCAGGGAGTTTTTAAAAAAAATTTTAAAATCATGAATTGATGTTGAATTTTGTTAAATGCTATTTCTGAATCTATTGACAGGATCATACAATTTTTATTTAGTTTGGTATGACAGAATATAATGATTGCTTATCTCTTATGTTAACCCGCCTTGCATTGGTTGTAATATCTAATTCTTCTTGTACATTGTTGGAAGCAATTTGCTAATATTTCATTGAGGATTTTAATCTATGCTCATGAGATATTCGTCTGTAGTTTTCCTTTCTTATAATGTCTTTGGGTTGGTATCAGAGTAATATTAGCCTCATAGAATGAGTTAGAAAGCATTTCCTTTGCTCGTACTTTCTGGAAGAGACTTGAGAATTGCTATTTCTTCCTCAAGTGTTTTGTAGAGTTCACCAGTGAATCCATCTCACCAAGTGTTTGTTTTTGAAGGTCATTAATTATTGATTCAATTTATTTCATACATATAGGCCTATT